GAAATGGCGCCAAATGGCGCCAGCGCTCAAAACGAATGTGATATTCGTGATCAGGGCATCGAATTACATCTATAGGCAACGTTTCAGCGAAAAATTTTTTTTGAGTTTTTGGGGTAGGAATAGTTCAATAGTGCCTTTCAACTACTTCCCGCGAAACGAGACTGGTAACACCCTCGTCCACTGCAGAAGTGAGTACCTCATGCGAAGAACTAGCAAACTTTCACGTTATCGTACATCTTGCCTCCAATCGATGCAAGCTCGTTGTGAGCTTCACTTACAGAGTGGATTTTTAGAAAATTTTGGACGGAGAGAATTATGAAAGGCAGTTGGCACGATAATTTGTTACTCGACCTAAAATGCTAGCAGGGCGCTCTATTGTGAGAAAATGGCGAAAAAACCTGCGAAGAAAAGCCTTCGTTCTCGGTGATCAACAAGCAACTTCGGACGAGTTTCCCGTAGGAGTCTTGCCCATGAGTGCTACTGTATGTATGGCTGCATGTGTATACTCATATATCCATGCAGCATCGCAGCCGCTTCATACCAATCCCTTCGCTTCATAATTTGCTTAGCAAATGAAGCATACGAGCATCAGGAACGGTCGTCCATTTGTGGGCGGGCGGGTGTGGGTAAGTTCCTTGGAAAGGTGCTACGGAGCGCCTGCTCAGAGTAGCGGAATTGCGTCCTGCCCGGCGTATTAATCCTACTCGTCTCAGCGATTTATCGTGCCAACTGCCTTTGACACCACATGGTTATAAGGTCAAATTGTCAAAATGATGCTCAGGCGGCGTTCACACTACACGATCCAGTGGCGTGGATCGCGCCAGCAATCTCATCGCGAACTATGAACGCGCTCCTAGAAATCTAATTGAAACATTCATAACAGGCAAGAAACCGGATGACTCAACGATTCCTATATAAGGCATATATATTTATTGTGCACTGAAAAGAGCAATCGTTGCCGTAGTAATATCTACTGAACGAAAAAAAAACGAGTTATAAAGCAGAGAAAAGACCAATACTGAACTTCACAGATTATGATATCACTTCAGAGACACTCAAAAGTATTCCTGCATTTGAGTTTACGGGTGTTACATTACAAATCTATTTAAACTATCTGACAGCGGATAATATAAACAAGAGTTCATGCCATTTACTGAAAGACAAAAAAAATCTAAATGCAGAAAGAAACAAGAAGGATCGGCGTAAAACATATACACGCTCTCACAAAGCATATTTGCAGCGATGCCAGACAATGTGAATTAATTTGTAAGAAGGTAAGATGATATGTGAGTTTCGTGATCTCTAGAGATTGAACCAGTCCTCAAGAATTCCCCGATGACCGCGTTGCCGTTGAGCTGGCCGATGAGCGCGAATTTGGCTAACACGAACTAGCAAAGGAGTACGGACGGTTCTGTCCCTAACAGATCGGTTCCGCGGCTGTGGCATGGAACCTCTTCGACGTCCTCGCTGATTTCCATTTTGCCATTCTGTGCACTCAGTCTCCATAGCATCAAGCGATTCCAGCTCGCTTGACGAGCGGCGCTTAGCTGAAAGACAAAACTTTTAGCTCACGTAAAAACAAAAGGAAAACAACCCTACTGAGGCAATGCATGTACAGACATAGCGCGCCTCTAATGCACGAAATGGACCCAGATTGGAGGAAAGAGCTACAAGCTACTGTCTTCTATAATCCCTTCAGAGCTGCTGACATTGTCTCATTCATTCTCTTTTCAGTGAGGCAAAGGAAAAAATGTCGCAGGCGCACCAACCATTTAGGTGGGGGGAGGGGGGTGTGCCAATTTCCCTCAAGGTCGTGCTTGACACTGGTTGTAGTAGCATTGTCAGAAATACAATGTAGGATACGATGAACTATAAAATGAAAGAGAACTTCATTTACACTCACATGGATTCGCTTGTAGGAATGACTCAACAATTTCATTAAACTGTGCATCCTTCTGCATTGAATGGATCGGTCCCCGACACTAAACAAGTTCATTCTAATCAGTGCGACCGCAGTCATTTTCAAAAGCGCGTTCATACTTCGCGATCGCGCGATTCAATCGCACAGTAGAATCGCTCGACTGAATCGCGCAATCGGATCGCTCGAATGGACCGCGCGACTGGATCGCGCCATCGGATTGCTCCACTAGATGGCGCGATCACGATGTATGAACGCGTTCTGATATCGTGATGGCCAATGAAAAGGTGAAAGAACCAACCTGAGGGCAGACAGCTGTCTGATTTGTCCTTTTCCATGACAGAAGGCAAGAATAACAGAACTTGTGATTGCAAGGACTGACGCTAAATAACAAGGTTAAGCTCTCCAGATCCAGAAAGAAAATATCAGATACTTTTTTCGAGATGCATTGACTTAGATCACAAGAATGCTAACTTTATGGGCAAAAGTGTTGATTTCAGGCGGGACTCGAATGCTCAAAGCGCTCGAAACAGTGCCTTATGTTCAGACTGTATAAGCACGCTCTAAGAACGCCAGCTGTATAATAATGGAACTTACGTGGCTGGATTATGAAATATTTCCATGCAAATCGAACATCTCATAAGAATTTCAAAGTTGGCCGGAACTTGAAGAAACGAGCCAGTTTGTTCCTGCAAAACAACGCGTATAAGAGTAAGCTCAATTTCAATTGTTTATGAGATGGTACCGTTGTGTCCATCGGTGAAACGTGATCCATAGGATCTCCCGCCTAAAAAAGGAAAGTGCAAAAAGAGCGTAAGAGTCATTTCTAAGTACGGTCACTAAGAGAAAATAAGTTTATTAGGTGAAAAAATTGAAATTTGAGGAGACAGTGCTGGAATACTCGTAAAAGAAATCTCTGCTCGGTGTTAGATATACTAGAACTCCGAAGAAAGTTCACCCTAGGTAACCCCAAAAGCGCATCGTAGTTCTGCTTAACTGCACTCAGGAACAGGGCACGTCCCGCTATCCGAGGAAAATTCTGCAAAATACCCTAGAAATTAACTTTGCGGTACAATCGTCCTCTCTTTTCACTCCATCTTCCTCAATCTTCCTAACTTCTTCCATCCTCTGATTTTTTTCCCAAAAAACTGCCGTCGAACGGAGGGGAGAGGGCAAAGGGGGATGTAGGTTATACGCACGAGAAACAAAAAAAAACGAGAAAAGTCAACAGCCGAGACCAACCTTTTCTTCAACGGCCGGATATGACCCCCCCCCCTCCTCACAACACCGGGGACCCCATCATACAACGTACTCTGTTTAGGGAGCCTTTCTGTCAATATTTCAACCAACTTCTGCTTCCCCTCAAGGCCTCTCACAAAATGAGAGAGGAAAACGGGAACGGGCAGGGGCAAAAATCAACCCGGCTTCACTAAAACAATTGAGACCCAACAAAAAAAATCGTAGGGTCAGAAAGGCTAGGTGAGCGGACGGCTCAGCGTTCCAAGTGGAAGCAATATTACGACAATCTCGAGTAAGTGATCTATTTGTGAGCCCTCAGCAGCTTCCCACGTCGAGGCTTCACAATTAAATCTGACTCAATCGATTTCTATGCAAAAAGTTAGTCTAACTATGCAAAAATACACGTGTAAAAATGGATTGTAAAATAAATAGTGGATAAATATACATGTATACAAAAAATCAAAATATGTTCGAAAATACCGTTTCATTGGAACACGGCTGCACTGACATCGTGGCTGGAATCGTCTGAAAGAAAGTGACACGTAATACGTTTCAAATGTGATAAGAAAAGCTAGGCGTTTTCCAGCCAGTCAACGTGTCTGAGAATACGCTTTTCAAAGCTATGCTAGGGTATGGATAACATGGAACTAAACTATAGCGGAACTTTTCTGAAAGAAATATCCCGAGAGTCTGATGTGAGGCAGTGGCAAGTGGCACTCTTACCAATGGCACGCGGCACGGAAATCTGACGCCGGATCAGCTCTCGGCTAGGCCAACCAAGCTTTCTGCCCTTAGAGGCAGTGATTTTGTACCTGATTTCTTCGGGAAGATAAGAACATTGACTTGTACATCGGTTAACCCTCGCAAGTCATGTATGTGCACATAGAACTATTCACAACAAGCCACTACGATTGTGAATGGATCCAAAATGCGTGCTTGAACAACGGCGAAGACACTGGAATAATCCAAACGACAAGTTCTTCCTCTTATGGAAAATAACAGACACGTGTTATTTGAAAAAAGCTTGGGTTATTTTGATGGGGGGGGGAGGCCCAAGATATAGCTCTTGATAACAGAACTAACGTAAGCTAATAGGAAAACGAGATAAAAACGCACCGTATTATTTGTGACAGTAGTGGGCACTCGTGGAGGGATTGGTTCGTCAATAATCTTGAAAACAGAAAATAGGTACTTGGAAATCACAGCAAACTAATTGTTACCTCAACATAGGCACCAAGCGGACACTTCTTCCTTCGAGAAGACCGAGTAGACAAATGTCCTCTCCTCTAGGTATTTCAGGAGTAGGAGAAGCACCAAGAACAATGGGATTAGAGCTGGTGCCTAGAGATCCTGCAACTCTTTACGATTTGTGGACTTGAAACGGCGTATAATATCTGCTGCGTTTCTTAAAACGACCGTTTCTCACGTCGTCAGTCAATGGAAGAAACTCGTACTTCTGCAGATAAATTAACCTAGACTTAAATAATCTGAAACAAAATGGCAGTGTGAATTAGCTCAGTAATATTGCGCTTTGTAATGCGACACACAATAGTAGAACATTCAGTATATACGGTACAATCAACATTATATTCAGTAGTACAGGAGAGTTTTTTCGCTTTGAAAATGACTGAATTTACAAGGACTGAAAATTTCACGCACAGGCTGAACAGTCTGGCTGATGGGCATGATAAGGCGTGTCCGCGGGGCTGCTACAGCCCGTTCTTCATTGGTTGTTGAAGCGGGTGAGCGGCAATTGGTGGGAAACGACTGATACGAATACTGATATGATACGGTCTTACCACTTCCCGAAAAAAAGAAAAGGAAAAAATGGGTTGGCCGCAGCCGCGCTGACACGCCCAATCATACGCATCGAAAAAGCATACATGCAGGTGATATCATCGGGGCGGCGTGGGGGAGGGGGGAGGGGGAATGAGCCCACTCGCGATTGGGCTGCATTCATACTTTTGGGTTTTGAAAGAAAAAACGCCATGCGCGAAAAGGATCGTACAGGTATCGATCAAAAAGCTCGAGCGCTCAAACGGCAGATCGATACTTGTACCTTCTTTTTCGCTCATAACGCTGAATCGATACAAGTCCACCTTACGCTTTCTAGTGGTCCGGTTTAGCTAGAATTTAACTAGGGATGGAAAACCGGGTGGGCTCATTCTACGTCTGACGTCCGACACGCCCCGACTCGGGCTGGCTGGCGACGGTATCATCAGCTGTACATCTGTGTGGAAACTCGCGAATTCCCGGTCTTTTGAAGAGGTATTAAAGGTAAAGGCACTGTATCAATTCGCAATGGAGACTTTGAAGCAAGCGAATCACACTGCAATGTAATCATAAGGCTTCCAGTTGCTATTGCCTACCGCTTTTTTAGAATTTCAGATAACAAAAAATAATACAGCAGCCATAATTGCGCCCTGTCGCTCGAAAGCTCGCGAAAAAACGAAACAAGAAGAAAAAACGACAAAAAAAGACCAAATGTTCGCATAAAATACTTTCAAGTAAACATGTCGGTATACAGAAACCGCTCACATCCATCAACAAAACACTCTAGAACATTTTATTCTAAAGTCATGGCATAGAAAAATACAAATTCTAATATAGTAATTCTTGAGGCAGTTCGAGCCACTTCAAAAAGAGTGGATATGGAAGTCATATATTAGCCCATCTTCATGCAATGCCATCGGTGCCGGACTAATCACCTAAAAATCAGTCCTTGAATGACCAGGCAAAAAGGTCACTGCAATTCCGGATGGCGTTCGGCTTAGGGGGAGGGGAGAATAATTCACTTTCGCTAGTTCCTGTTTAAGTACCCTTCTCATCTTTTCAAACCTGTAAACTCCTGTCAAGTGTCAACGAAGCACGAAAGCAAGCAAACTTCACAGGAATTTGCAGGTATCCACAGGAGGCACGGCAGTAATCGTGAGGAACGAGCAAAATACCCCCACCAAGCTGAACTGCGCTCATAAGTTCACCGCTAGCGCTGATGGTGCTGGACATCAGAAAATCGTAAATATTCTCGATTTGGTAACCATGGGCTTTCGACTACGTCTAGACCTAGATAATCGAAGCAATCTCACCTGATGACACATATCAATCCTCATTACAACGTATCGCGGTGTGATAAAACCATAATCGTGGGGCATCCGTAAGAGTAACCGTTCCTTTTCAAGATTAAATGGAAGCTGTCGGGCCTGAACAACTCTGAACATTGGGTGGAGTTAAGAGAGTTTTCAAAAATTCATAACTGGTATGGACGCTTTGAGCTAACGTTTCTAGGAGGAAGAGAGGAGGGGAGGAGGGAACAGGGCACGTTCTGGCGTTGGGGTAGAAATTTGCAAAATACGACGCTCTGCGAAATTTTTTGATCTCGTCAGGCTCTCTTCCTTCTGCATCCTAGCAACAATCTTCCTAGTTTCCCCAAGTTCCCACCATTTTCCGGTGTTTTTTTTTGTTCAAAGTTCCTGCAGTCCTTTCCCAGGAAGTTTTCATCATAAGTGGGGGGAGGGGAGAGATTGCGATGTGGCGGGGTATACAGCGCACATGAAAAATCAAGAAAATCAACAACCGACGAACGAAAACATCTCTCTCGAAGGCAACTACAACCCTCTCCCCTCCAGTGACCAAATACGAGCCCTCCTCGCTGCGTATCGCCAACAAACGTGCCCTGAAAGCGGACTTAGCCGCGTCCCCATCCTCACTGAAATACGTCCGTCCGTCCGTGAATTAGCACAAGTTGTGAAGAAAATACTCCAATAAATATTGATTAGAAATGTACTAAAAAGACCTACCAGCTTGTACAATTCATTCTTTCGTAATAATGCCGCTAGAATGATTGAATACTTGAAATAGGGGATTTCTAATGAATATCCTGCCGCATCTCGTGGAACTATCTTGGCTGAGTGAATCATTCGTGCAAGTGATCCTACAATAGTTATGTTCGTTGGGCATACTTCCTTCTCGAGCAGCGGCTCACTTTTCATATAGCTAACTCCAAATTAAAAAACTCGCAAGAATCCCCGGTTAATCACTAGTGAGAGAACAGCACTAAACCTTCAACACCCGACGGCTCCATTTAACGTGCAATTCAACGCATCCCACAGGCAACTGTGTGGAGAGACGCACCGTGTTTCCTAGATAGTCGTCTCGATGATCAGCACGTCTGCCACGAAAACCAGTTGATTCGCGATGCGGACGCCGTGCGCCGCACATTGCCTGCCACGCCCCTATATCCGCGGCACGGATGTGTTGAACCACACCCGGCACTATGTACCTAGGGATACACTGAAGGATCAGTTAGTAGAAGCGCCGAAAAGTTCTACAACATCGCAAGCTCTCTCAAAGTCGTCAGCGTTAATCGCTAGGCTGTGTTCACAAATTCGTCGGTTCTTTAGAGTTTTGAGGGTTTCTGGTATTAGGCGGAGCGGGTGGGCTTAACAGCTCGCGTTGTTTTGCACATCTTCCACCCAGACTCAAGTGGGATATCGGAGGAACCGCTGGAAATGCTGGATTCCTACTGATCTAGAGAAACGAAGAATCTATAACAAAGCAGAACTGGAAAAATCCACAGATCGATGTGTTCTATCCTGCCCCCCCCCCCTCTCTATGTGGCGGAATTGATTCGCACCCAAGACAAACTGTACTCTTACCTCGGTGAATCCTGATCCTTGCTATGTGTGAGGCAAATGAGTCTGCAGTTGCAGTAGTATGCGACATATCACGGGTAATACTGCACGGGAAGGCTGAAAGGCAATGATACCCCGATGTCGACCCATACTCCACTTCATCTGCGGCGCGGCCAACCACACGCCCAGTCCCATCCAAACGCGCAACTTTCCTGCACCCTCTCACTTATGATTGCTCTCTGCCGCTGAGTATGAGTTTCGTTGCGAGACTTTGGCATCCACGCAAAAGCTGCACCTTGATTATGGAGCGGACAGAGTATGAAGCCGGCCCGAGTATCACTGCTCTCCAGTCCAGTGATGTTTCCCTGCATCTTTGAGCCAAGAAAATGGCACGCTATCGCAAACGCGGACCCATTAACCTCGCACCATGGAGACGGCTATCCTTGTGAATGTACAGTTTGGGCGCAGTTCGGTGACGGGGTGGGAGGGGTTAGGGGAGGCATTTTGCATTTTGCACTTTCACTGCTTCACTAGTTCTGGTTTACAAGTCCCACTATGAAACCTGTGAACTCTTCTGAAGAAGGAGCAAGCTCGTCAGTTACGGCAAAACCTGTCTAAAAAGGCTCTCTAGATGAGTCGCCACGTTGATGAGAAGTAGCAAAAAAGCAAGATACCCCCTCCCCCGTCGTCGAACTGTCCCCACAGTTTGTCTTACGGACCAGAAATGGCTTCCATAACCAACCGACGACTAACAGAAATGTTACCTTTTTCACTACCGAATCCATCCCAGTTGTAGACAAA